TTTTTGCTTTGATGCAAAATGGATGTTAGAGAGTCCCCTTCTTTCTTTGCCTCTGGTATTTAATGAGTATCCTATTTCTACTGTAGGGAAATTATGCAGAAGCTATATCTTGTTACAATGAGGTTTTGCGGATTGATCCCTTGGCAGCTGATGGGCTCGTAAATAGGGGTAACACTTACAAAGAGATTGGTAGAGTGAGTGAAGCAATTCAAGATTACATTCGTGCTATTAATATCCGGCCAAACATGGCTGAAGCCCATGCAAATCTGGCTTCTGCTTATAAGGATAGGTATTTTTCTTTGTTTCCAATCTTATTTTTCTGAGTAACCTTTGTAGCTCAAGGGAAAAAAAAAACCATTGGGGTTGATTTTTCATCCAAAATGAGGAAAAACAAATTCGATGCATTCAACTTAAATGCTATTTATGAGATCTTGTAACATTTGTTCTATTGGGGTGAGGAAAGTGCTTTTTTACATTTAACAATTTGGTGATTTGAGTTGGCTTTACTTGTAATTCAGCGGACGTGCGGAGGCTGCCGTCAAAAGCTATAAGCAGGCATTGCTTCTTCGACCTGATTTCCCTGAAGCTACATGTAACCTCCTACATACGTTACAGGTATTGATCATGGCCTGAGTTTCAATGCACTATGGAATTGGTTTAAGTTAGCTCAAAAAGTAACATTGCTATCCCTAGGTAAAAACTACATTTACATGCATTAGATGTCACTTTGGTGGAGTTTGGTACATTACAATGCAATGTGATTACAAGTAATGTGATTGCAAGCAATGTGATTACAGAGAAAATAACATTACAGTGTTTGGTATGTAAGCAAAATAATGATTAAAATGCAGGGAAGATAACATTGTAGTTTTGGTTTACAAGTACTTTAGTGGGAATGTAATGTTAATTGTCAAAATTACCCTTAATTATTAAAATATAAGTTTAATATATTTATATTTTATTATTAATTTTTATATAATATCATTTCTTAAATATATTTTTAATATCATATATTTTATTTTATTTACTATTATAATTTTATATTTTATTTTTAATATATTTATATTTTTGTTATTAATTTTTATATAATATCATTTCTTAATATATTTTTAATGTCATATATTTTATTTTTATTTACTATTATAATATTTATATTTTATTTTAATATATTTATATTTATATTATTAATTTTATATAATATCATATTTTAAATATATTTTAATGTCATATATTTTATTTTTATTTATTATTATAATTTTATATATTTTATTTTCATTTCTTTAATATATTTTTTATATTATATATTTTATTTTAATTTGTTTTACCTATATTATATAAATGTTAATTTTTTATATTTTATTTTATTTTAATTTTATTCTTATATTATATTTTATTTAATATTTTTATTTTAATTATAATATTATAAAATATTTTTAATAAGGTAATAAAATTGAAGGGTAAATGTTTTTAAGAACATGAGTGCAATGTAATGTGATTGCATGGTTTTGGACTGCAATCACATTACATCCATTGGCTGAATGTGATTGCATTGCAATCTTACATTACAGTGACTGTTTACAAAACAAACACTGCAATGTAATTTAATAAGCCACATTACAGGTAATGTGCTTTACATTGCAGTGTACCAAACGGACCCTTTATGTAGTAGCAGAAAGCTCTCATTGTACATGCCGCTTTCTTTCAAGGCATTCAACCTTTTCTAGGTGATCATGTTCTGAGTGTATACTCCTAGTAATTCTAAGAGTAATGATTGGTTGATTGAACTAAGGCTAAGATTTATGTAGTTTGCTTCATTGGTTATCTTTTGGGATTACTTCCTTGGAACTGACCTTACTTCAAAGTAACTCTGTGGATGAACTGGTTTTATGGGGAGAAACATATCGAATTGGGATCAACTCATGTAATTTGATTTGTATTTGCAGTGTGTATGCAGCTGGGAGGATCGTGATAAATTGTTTACTGAAGTTGAAAGCATTATTCGAAGACAGATTAATGTGAGTATTGATATGTATTCATTTTTTTCTTCTTCCTTGTGATTTATGTTATGTTATCTATTTTTAAGACTGGCAACTACTTCAATAGTATTTCCTGTTTTTAATGCACTTAACCGCAATAATTTCTTCATCTCAGATGTCAGTTCTTCCTAGCGTGCAACCCTTCCATGCTATAGCATATCCCATTGATCCAATGCTTGCACTTGATATAAGGTATAAATTACTTTTCAAAGCACCATATGTAATTTTACTGTGGTGAACTAGAGATTTTTATTGATATTTCTTCCCTTCTCTTGCAGCCGTAAATATGCTGCTCATTGCTCCTTGATTGCATCTCGTTTTACTCTTCCTCCTTTCAACCATCCTGCTCCAATTCCTATTAAGCGTAATGGTGGAAATGAGAGGCTTAAGGTGGGTTATGTGAGCAGTGACTTCGGCAATCACCCCTTGTCACACCTCATGGGATCGGTATTTGGCATGCACAACAGAGAAAATGTTGAGGTTGGTGTTTTATTGTTTGTTGGGGGGGGTGGGGTTGAGTTTAATCTCATTGTATTACAACTCTCTGGCTTTTGTGCATCCTATCTTTCGTGGTTAAACATAGACACGAACATGGTGTTTGCAGGTATTTTGCTATGCCTTGAGTCAAAATGATGGCACTGAATGGAGACAGCGCGTCCAGTCTGAAGCTGAGCATTTTATTGATGTCTCTGCCATGTCATCAGATGTTATTGCCAAACTGATTAATGAGGATGGAATACAGATCCTTATAAACCTGAATGGTTACACTAAGGTATATCATATTTAAATTTTTTCATCTTTTGAGGAATCTAATCTTATTGTCAGAGGCTTGCTAAAGTGATGTTATTATAATGAAAAAATCAATCTAAGTTCCTTTCTCTTGATATTTTGTTTTTTGTGGTGCCCATTTTTATGTGACATATGGTGCTGAGAAGTCTGCTCTGTTTACATTTCTGAATTTTCAACTTTATGAATACGAAATTTTAATATGGAATGATTTCCCTGCTCAATAATACAGGGGGCGAGGAATGAAATTTTTGCCATGCAGCCTGCACCTATACAGGTTTCATATATGGGATTTCCGGGGACTACTGGGGCAAATTACATTGATTACTTGGTGACTGATGAGGTAGGAATCAGTGCTTCACATAGACCTTCAATGATTCATATGTTCTTTGTTTAACTTGCTATTGGTTTGCTTTCAGTTTGTTTCACCTTTGCGCTATTCACATATTTATTCTGAGAAGCTTGTTCATCTCCCGCATTGCTATTTTGTGAATGATTATAAGCAGGTGAGTTAGTGAACTCTTATGATGTGCTTTAATCTTCATTTAGACAACAAAGACCTAATTCTATGACTATCAATGTTTGCAGAAAAATCGTGATGTGTTGGAACCAACTTGTTTGCACAAGCGATCAGACTATGGTCTTCCAGAAGATAAATTTATTTTTGCGTGCTTCAACCAATTGTATAAAATGGATCCTGAAATCTTTAATACTTGGTAATATGAGGATGATCTCAAGTTAACGCATCTGATATCCATATTTTGTCTTTTCACTTATATACTTCTTTGATGGTTCAGGTGTAATATTCTTAAGCGTGTACCCAATAGTGCACTTTGGCTTCTCAGATTCCCTGCTGCTGGAGAAATGAGACTGCGAGCATGTAGGTTCTACTATATCTTATTTTCTTATAAAAATGTAACATTCATAATGTGGGTTTCTTTATTGGTGATGTGGCTTTTGTTTCAGATGCTGTGGCACAAGGGTTACAGCCAGAGCAAATTATTTTCACTGATGTTGCCATGAAACATGAACATATCAGGCGTAGTGCTTTAGCAGATCTATTTCTTGACACGTAACTATTTTCTTCCCTTCTCTCTTTCATTGACAGCATTATTTTGATCTGCATTTCAGTAATGATGCTTGCATTATTCTTCTTTGTAGACCTTTATGCAATGCACATACTACTGGCACGGATATATTATGGGCTGGTTTACCTATGGTGACTCTGCCCCTTGAGAAAATGGCTACTAGGGTTGCTGGATCACTCTGTCTAGCTACTGGCTTGGGGGAGGAGATGATTGTGAACAGGTACGTGTTTGGAGTGTGTGGATTTGTATGTGGACATATTAAGTTTGATGGTCGTTAGATTTTGCAGTCAAGTTGGGCTGTATAATTCTCAAAATAATATGCCATTATGTAACACTTATGTTATTTTCATTTCTTCCTGCTTTACAGTATGAAGGAATATGAAGAAAGGGCTGTGTCTTTGGCATTAAATAGACCAAAGCTCCAGGCTCTTACCAATAAACTCAAGGCAGCTCGTTTAAGTTGCCCTCTGTTTGACACAGCACGCTGGGTAAGCTTTAGTTAAAGTCTCTGTTCATATATATATATATATGTATATTGCATTACGGGGTATGATAAGTGCTTAAACATTTACGTGTAAACCATGGCAGGTGCGGAATCTGGAGAGGTCATACTTCAAAATGTGGAATCTCTATTGCTCAGGGCAGCAGCCCCAGCACTTCAAAGTCACTGAGAATGACTTCGATTTCCCTTATAATAGATAGATAGAGGAACAAACGGGATTGTAAATAAGAAGCAAGAGGATATAGTAGAAAAAAAGAAGAAGAAAAAACCTATTTAGGAAAAAGATTGTTTTAGAGTTTATTCACAATGGAGTTGAGATGTGTTTCTGATATTTTTTATGCCAGATGCATCAAAATCTCTTGTCTTGCCCTATATTCAGACCAAGCGGCAAAGACTTACTGGTAGAAGAAATGAAATTTACTACAAGTTTTAATCCCCCTAATCTTTTAATGTTTCTTGCATAGAGATTTAAAGTAGTGGTTGCTGATGGAGAAAGGTCAGAAATGGCGGCCAACAAAAATTTTTGCAGATGACTTTGTGTCTTTTCCCGATTTTTCTTCAGCCCAGAATAAGTTGCTTTACCCGGGACGTGGGTTCAATTCAATGAATGAAGGCTGTGTTCCATGTGATGGCAACAGGATAAAATTCATAAAGACATTGACCAAGCTTTTTGGATGGGATAGGCTTTGACGTGTCACTGCGCCGACCCAATATAACAATGAAGGTGTCGCCCTCTCTCTCTCTTGAATTGAATCAAACTTTGGGTGGATCCAGTTGTCTTCCAATAAAACGTGAAGCGGTTGTCCACTAGAAGTCTAAATCTCAAAAATTGCAGGCCCATATTGTTTCTGGATACGTCAAGAAAACAGTTTAGGGGCCAAATCTAAATTGATTAGTCGCCTGATCAAAAATAGTGGAAAACAAATCGGATAGGTATTGTCCTGAACCAAGAACGAACCAACCTAAGGCTGGTGGACAGCATCAATCCAGTCCCAGAAAATTGAATCGACAGTAACTTAGTGCTTCCTCCATAGGTAAAGTGATTTCATAGATTCCTGCGAACCCTTGGAGCTCTATCTGGGCGGCAATCAACATTTGTCTCAGGCGGAGTAATCCAAAGCAATAAAATTGTGGTTAAAGAAATCATCCATGCAATGATGGCTCTTATGCTGGTCATGGAGAAAGGCATGTGATCAGCTAGAATGGCCATTCTTGCTAGCACCCAAGGTGCCCCAGCAGTCAATATCTATCCATTACCGCAGCCAATATCCTTTTCCCACCTTATCCGTTTCAAAGAGTGACAAGCGAGACCTCGTATGGGTGAGTATGAGGAGTAATATCATTTTGGGAAAACAGACCAAATTGAAGTGAGTTCAGTTTTTTATATTTGATTACTATAGGTATTTGATTCGAATCCGAGCCATAAAGTAGATTTCTTCAGCAGTATCCCATTTCATTTTGACAAGAAAACCAGAACCTGAAGCAATGGAAATTAGGCATTGATGAATTGAGATAAATACCCAGCTTAGGCGGGGCAAAAGGCGTATCTATCCAAATTTATGAGTCGTTAAGACCTATCTCTGTTGCCCCATTTGATCTGTCTGAGACCAATCCATAGGATTTATAGCGAACATCTCAGATTGGATAGTTGAACTGGTTATTAGTGATATGAAACTCCTTTTCTTCTTGTTTTGATTCTTGAAATATATCCCATGTTTATAAGAGATATTATCACTCTTGTTGCCCATCTTCTTGCCTCTGAGTAGGCAGGGTTCTAAGGGAAAAAGAGAAAGCTAAAAAGGGGAGGAAGAGAAGAAAGAGAAGATATTACTTCCGAATGTCAATGGGATGTAAGCTCTGCTACAATGCACAGAACAAAGTTGCTTCAAAACTTTACTCCTCTCTGCAAAGGGATGCATAATTCCGATTTGCTCATCAAATTCGTCACTATTCCTTTGGTGAAATCTGCACAAGCATAGATCTCAACAAACTTCACAAGAAAGTGCAATCTTTAAGCAGAACGGTGAGCTATAAGCAAGTTGAAATCACGAAGCATACAGCTGAAAGACAGCAAGGATATGCATGCAAACATCACTACCAAAGTCGAGAACAAGAACAAGATGGATACCATGGAAGGTTGTAGTGTTTTAGTAACTATGTCATATTATTAAGCAGAGCAGTAGAGGAATGATAGGACGTGAACCACACATTGAGGAAGGCAAGAATGCAAGGGAGCTTTGAAGCACTACTGTGATATTGTTTAATCCTTGCAAAACAATTTGCCTTTAAAAACTGAAGTTTTATTAAAACACACTGTTACACAATTTCCTCAGCCAGGCAGTGGTGAGCATAGTTTGAGAACAGTCACAACAATATAAATTATTATTAAGCATCTGCAGGTCTAGCGGTTTAGTTTCTTGAGCATCACTACTCGTAAAAATCAAAATAACAGACTCTTAATCCCACTAGCAAATATTGCATGAAAATACTCACTGATTATCATTCACCAAACTGGTAATCCCAGATTAATGATAGCGATAATTGTGCTAGAAATTGCCCTAAACTCCTATGAATTATTATGCAACAATGAATTGACAAAAATTTTCTTCCAAGGAACAGACCTCGTTAAGCAAGGATATAAACTTACATATAACCGATTGAAGCTTAAAAGAGTGGAATATGAGAAATTCAATTAAAGGGAACTAATTTTGAGTGAGAGATGTGTGGTAAAAATTTAAAATGTATAACTAGAATGTGAATACCTAATAATTCTGAATTAAGAATTGCTCAAACTAAAGTAAGCGAAAATGAATTCTGAAGCAGGAACCCACCTTTCAGAGGTTAGCAGCAACATTGACCTGTTCGAGCATTGTGACAACATAATATGGTATAATCTTCATTTTCAATGCCAGCCTCAAACACCTCGAAGGGAAACCTCCAACTGCTCTATCCGCTTAGCCAAATCATGCTTCCCACAATTCTTTAAACCATCAGTAACCATATCAAAGCATCTTGAAATTGGTGCCAGTCCCAACTCAGTCATCTCCACCAAATAATTTGCTGCCTCCACAAACCTGCCTCCGCGGCCACACATTGTTATCAACATTGTATAGACTGGCCTATTTGGAGAATGACCCTTGACCTTCATCTCACCAAAAAAGCTAAATGCATCATCAAACTGCCCTTTCCTACACATTGCTTTGATTATTGGTGCATACAGACTAGGAAATGGCCTATAGCCATCCTCAATTGAATTATTCAAAAGTCTAAAGGCCTCATCAATCCTACCCACCTTTGAAGCTGCAGGTATCAAAATTTTGTAAGTATTTATATCTGGACAAAGCCCCAATTTACAGACACTATGATACATATTAATACAAAAATCAACCTCCCCAGAGTTACAAATTGTTTCCACCAAAGAATTAAATGTTCCAACGTCAGGCACAAAACCTTCCTTAGTCATTCTCCTTACCATTTCCTTGGCTGATTCAAGATACCCTGCATTCAACAAACCTTCAACTAACAAATCTCGACCTCGAACGGGAGGATTAAACCCCATCTTACTCATCTCCTCCAAGAACTCTTGTGCCTCCCTCATCTTCCCACCAGAACACCATCCGTTCACCAGAATTGCATATGTCCTCTTATCCGGTACCTCACCTTTCCTGATCATCCTCCTGATTAGAGCATATGCCCCATGGAACATCTTCACCTCACAAAGTGCAAAGAGCAATGAATTGTACACACTAACAGTTTGTTTGCAACCTAAACTAGTGCTTTTGTTGAAAACCTCCACAGCCTGATCCACGAGGCTGTTCTTCCCGTACTCTTCAATAACAAAAGAAAGAGTATCACAAGAAAGGCTAAGGTTCTGCTTTTGCATTTGTTGAATGGTTTTCCACATGGATTCATACTTTCTATGGCGAATGAGGATCTTGACTAGCTCCTCAAATTCAACAGACGTGGGGACGTAGTGGGAATGGGCCCAGGAGAAGAAGCGAAGAGATTCTGTAGGCGAGTTGGAGCAGGAACGAAGTACACGGAAGACAAGTTCAGAATTTACTGAAATGTTCATGCGGTTGAGAGTGCGCTCTGGATGCACTTCACGACGAATGATGTTGGAAATGTGGTGGATAGCTGCAAAATAGTCATCTTTTGAGACAGCAGTTGTGGAAACAGAAGCAATTTGAAGGGAATTTGCAGAGGTTAGGGTTGTGAGGGAACAGAGAATATTCTGTGATTGTTTTCCATATCTGAGGAGGAGCTTCATAGAATGGAGCATTTGGGCTAGAAATTACAGTAGCGGAACATCCATTTTGCCCTTGATGCCAGCAATTGATCAAAGCAAAAACAAAAAATCTGCAATTTCAAATAATTTGTTAATATAAGAAAGAGGGAATAAACAAATACCCAACATATGTAGGAACAAAGAGGATGCAAGTTAAGATGATCCAAATCGATGGTGAAGCAGATTACCGTCATAACTCAATAACATATAAGAGCAGAGCAAAACATGACCATTTTAAGTTCACTTGTATGGATCCATGGTTTTGCAATTTTAGCTGCTTAAAACCTAGCCCTCTAGGAGAAGAGAATTTTGAGAAGGAATTCAAGCTACAAGTACAGATTAGCTTGGTCTATCATAGAATCAGGAGTCTAAACATAGATAAGATTGAGAACCATTGTTCCCAACAGCTAATTCCCCCACACCAAACAGAACAACATATAAATGTGCACTCAGCTTCAGAAAATGGCATTCCTGAAAAAACATCCTACATTAACAACACATTTTATTTCCAATATTGTATGGTGACTCCAACGTGTACATTTCTTATTTCACTCTCATGTTCATTGAAATTGAGCATATTTCCAAGTTTTCAACAAGGCACAATAGGTAAAGGGATTGAAAAAGAAGAAAACAAACCAAATAACGTACAACACAGAATGTCATCACATCGCAAACATAGTTTAAGCATTGGATACAGTTTAAAATAACAGAACCCAGTTCGGAAAAACGAAAGCTTCAAATTTCAATACATGAAATGACATTTTCCAGGTAAAGCACTTATTTCATCCATCAAAAGCTAATACCCATTAGTAAATTCATCACTTTAGCCCATATTTGTAACTTTGAATAACAAAGAAGAGATTGAAAATGTTAAAGAACATAGAAGAGAGATTTAAAGGGAGGGACTTTGAACAACCTATTTAAGTTACAAGCTTGGAAATTGGAAGATAAAAGAGTAGAGAAGGAAAAGGCAACACAGAATGGAAGAAAGGTCACACCTTTTTGCAGCCGGAGTTGGAGATTGCAGAGGCAGAGAGAGGGAGAAACCAGCAAGTGTCTTTGCAAAAGCAGAGAAAAAAATTGCACTTTGGATCATTGGGCCTTGAACTGAGCCCAACCCATTTAAGAAATGAGTCTAACTTTAATGGGCTGATCTGAATGGAAAATACCAATCTAATTTTTTATATCACACATCTCATATTAATAAAAATTAAAATGAGTCTTCAATTTATAAATAATTGTTATTTTCAGTTGATAAATATATTTTTTGTGTTGATAATATAAATTATAACAAATGATATCAAAACTTATTTAACTCTTTACAGATATAATACTCTTATAACAGATATTAAAGTTGAGATAAATTTGGATCAAATTAAATCTCTTTATGAATAGGTGAAAGAATCAATATAATAAAAATGTTTTTAAATTTTTAAAAGGGAAAATAGTAATTCAAGCTTTTGGAGATTACTAATAAATTCATATATTATCATATGCTAATAAATTTAGATCGATCATAATATCATTTATTGTAAGGCGAGACAAATTCATCATTCAAAAAATATTATTAGTTAAAATTATTTTGGTTATTATTAAATCAAATATGTATACCAAAAATTCTTTTTTCTATTGTGCTATCATATGAGGTGTGCAGAAAATCATGTACACAGCTGAGTTATCTTAGGAAAGACAATTTTCAACTTTTAACCTTGGTTAACATGATCACCATAGGAAAATAGGCTAAGTTCCTTATCACATAATGACATTAATAAAATGTCAAATAAAATGCAATAAACAAGAAGAAGCACCCAAAACGGAGCTGGGAGACACAAGGGAATCAAATTGTGCAAGAAAGAAGCATAGAATAGTGGTTAAATTAAAGAATTATTGGGTGAAAGTGGCTTCAAATTCTGTAAATCCCTGAATTGCAATTTGTTAAGAGTACTAGTAAAATGGTTTAATCAGCACCATCCATAACAGTATAAGGCCAAAGAGTATGATTCTTCAAATACATTTCTGTCGTTATTTAACTTATAAACAAGGCCATTATATCCAACCATCCATTGCAACAATAAAATAATAGTTTGAACCATTGACAACAGTTTTGACAGCCTAACAAAATAACAACTGAATTCGTCCCTTTGTAATTATTTTTTACTATGAAGAATGGGACATCAGACAGCTGCGGCTAGAATCTGTTTTGATTGTAAAAGAAAAAGGGAAATATGGCTTCAGAATTTGAACGTTGGGGGGTTTATCTTTGACCCTGTATGGACTTGAAATAATTATAATTATAGTTATGTTTCCTGGTCAATACCCTGAAAACTTCTTTTCCAATGTAAAAATCCTTGGAGAGTTTGCAGCCTAGATTTCTGAACTCTACGTGTGCGTTGGAGAATGATAAACATAGACAGAATGGCACGCTACGTTATGGAATTGTGCATTGAATGGCCAAACATACATAGACAAGGTGAGAGGTACAAGATTGAAACAAGGAGGATGCATGGGAAAATATTCAAAGCAAAGCAGCTAAAGAGAGAATCCATATCGGTTTTGTCGATCAGTTGTTTTCCCCATCAGAACTGAGTTTGAAGAAATTCCACCACTTTCTTATCAAGTTTGAAGGCCTTAGCAAGTACATCAGGATTGATAGGTGGGTTGGAACCAAAGACAGCATTGGCAATAGTGATAACTCCTGGATTCTGGCTGCTGAGACCGGCAAAGGCAATGGCGTTAGTTTTCCCAATATTGAACTGGAAGTGAATGAGACCAGCAGGGAAAACAAACACATCTCCTCTCTTCAGGATTTTGGTGAAGAATTTATTATCCGGGTTTGATGTAACAAAGCCAACATAGAGTGTACCCTTTTTTACAGCTAGGATTTCCGTGGCACGGGGGTGAGTGTGAGGAGGGTTTAGGCCACCATAAGGTGCATAGTCAATTCGAGCCAATGATATGCCAAGAGTGTTAAGTCCTGGAATTTGGTCAACATTGACTGGAGTAACTCTTGATCCCACTGCATTTGATGTGTTTCCTGCTTTGTCAAGCCCTGAAAAGAAGAAGTCATCCGCAGTGGCAAGTTTTGGATCCTTGCAGAACTTCCCATTTACAAATACTGCATGAAAGAAATTGGTGTTAGTTGATATCAATCCATGCAAAAACTGATGTCCTTATTATGTCGAAAAGTATTGCTCCTAAGCTGAATGCCCTCAGTGCAAGCATTGGCATTATAAGAAAATAACATAAAGTCCTACAAAAAAAATGAACTAAATGCATACTGGCGTGCTTGGTATCATTAAGGGCTACACAGAAGTCCTGCAGAGAGCTAGGATCTGAGGCTGAGGCTAATGAGAAAGCCAATGTCAATAGGGCAAAAACTACAAGGAAATTTTGAACTCCCTTCATAAGGATCACTCTGGTTGTATCTACTTCTATTTCTTCTTTGGTAATGATTGAGAGAGGGGTGAGAAACTTTGCATGGCAAGCAGGTCTATTTATAGATGGAAAACCAGTGAAGTGGTCCTCATTTATCTACTTAAAGCAGGAGAAGGCTTGCTACGCCTCATTGGCTATTGAGTTTATATTTTCAGGATGAATATATACCTCAACAACTGCTTTTTTTTTTTTTTCTGCCTCTTTATTTTCTTAATCCTAGCATATCATTAGAATATTTCAAGTAGGTGGTTGTACTTGAATTGGATAAATAAAATTTCATTTATCCTAAACAAAACAGGAAAAACATGAAAATTTGTATCAATAGAAAGCAGTAGGTCAGCAGAAGACAAACAACAATAAGTAATCCCCAAAAGACAAAACCCAACCGGCAAAAGAAAAGACCATCAAAATGGACAAACCATGGCTGCAGAAAAAAAGCAAGAGAATTAATAACAGAACATACCACAACTTAGGCTCAGGTTCTGACAAAGAACCTGAGTTAATTAGAGGCTTACCAACAACTTTTGAATCTTGATTAGTAAATGAACTTGGCTCTGATTTCAGCAGGAAGGCAGTGGAACAGAAAAGCTTCATCTTGGGAGCACCTAATCTGACTTGTTTGATTTATTTCTTCCAAGATGTGATAAATTTATCCAACCGAGCAAGTTCTTGGATAATACCAGATAAAATTTTCCTTCCAAGTAACTTTCTAACTTCAAGCAAAACTAGTTCAATGTTTTTGGGATGGGATGATTGATGACTAGAATAACTATTTCAGCTTGTTAGAATTAAGCTGATAGAAGAATGAAGAACAGAACATTTTATACATCATTTTATGGTAATAGATTGTAATGACCCACCCAAGTTCAATCACTGGCTCAGCTCTGATATTATTTGTAACGACCCAAGTCCAACTATTGGTCTAGTAGTTTTTTGGACCTAAACCATATGGCCCTTAAAAATTTAAATTTAAGTTGCTATTAGTGATGGGTTTGGATTGTTATATAGGTCTTAACAATCACATTCACATCAGATGTGGGAGGTTGGGTATCACATAGATCAAACTCAATTCTAATACTATTGAAAGAGAATGATGTAAAAAAGTTAATTGAAATTACTTTTGGAGTCATTGGGTTAAATTTCGATTGAAGTCATTACAAAATGCCCAATAAGTTGTCATAATGAAGAAGAGTGATTAATTGATGAATGGCTAGGTGACTTCAAATTCTGTCACTCTTGAGTTAAAGATTGCAAGGGTAATCTAGAATTGTTTTAGCATCTCCTGTAATCACAAGTACAAAGGAGGATGATCCTTTTATGCCATCCCTGTTGTTATCTGAGTAATAAACATAACCTTTATATCCAAGTAACAAATCAAAAGTAATTGTTTACCATTAACAAGAATGTTGACAGCTTAACTAAAACAGCAATAGAATACTTCTTTTTTGTCTTTGTTTTTCTAAAAATTTGTCAGAGATTGCAGGCACTCTCCATCTGTTCAATAGAGAGTAAGACAAAGGTCCCTAGTTTTATTCTATTCATCTAGTTTAACTGATTATCCTTTAAATTGATGCAGTTCATTATTCATATCACATTGTAGTTCTCTAAACTTCTCTATAGTTCTAGCTTGTAAGGTGAGGGCGTTTCATATATATAATGTCCAAAATTGGTTTTCCATGGATTATTATGATGAATGGGACATCATGCTAGAATCTTTTTTTTTTTTTCAAATTATAATTAGCTATTGTATTGAAAAAACTTAATTTTCAATATAATGTTACTCAATTACAAATTATAAAATGCAAAATTATCTTTCTTAATCATTTTCTTAGGGCTATGGGATGTGATGTGTAGGTACAAGTACAACATTGTTTACCACAATGTGGAACCTAATGCTTTCTCTTGCAACTTCATAAGTTGGCTTGGAAACACAAAATTACTAGTTCACTGTCTCCAGAAATACTTGAGCCAGTTTTGAATTTTGTTTATCATTGAAGATTTCTTTTTTTTTTTCTTTAATGATAATCACAGCTTGCTTTAGAATTTAGTTCTCAACTTCGGATTCTTTCCTTCACTTAGACAATAATGGTTATTATTTGCAATGGTAGTTCCCAAATATACCTCAATTTCATTAGAAAAGCAGGAATGAAATTAATAGTTACGCTGTTTTCTGATAATAAAATTGCATACGTCAAAGTCCGGTTGAACTACTGTTGCAAATTTTTTTTTTTTTGAATTGGAGGAAAAAGATTCGAACCTTGTTATTGATTATGCATAAACTAATGAGTTAAGTGTTGCAAACTTACTTTCAAAGGTTGCCTATCAGAGAATGATATTTATTCAATACCTAGAACATCATAATCTGTACTTGAGAAAAACCAGGGTATCATGTAACAATTCCTTGAGAACTTGCAGCCAAGCTAGACTTTTTTGTCCTTGGACCTTTGATACCTGGATGAGAGAGAGAGAGAGAGAGAGTTCATAAATTGCACAAGAGATTATGGATTGTACTTAAAATGATGGAAGTACACAGAATTGCACACTAAATTGTGAACTTGTGCGCAAAAATGACCAAACATAAACTTAGACAGAGGAGTGGTACAAGACTGTAAAAGGAGTCGTCAAAAAAAATCAATTCAAACTGAAGCAAGTAAAGGGTAACTTCATGTGATTCCATCAGAACTGGGTCTGAAGATATTCCACCATTTTCTTGTCCAGTTTGAAGGCCTTAGCAAGAACATCAGGATTGACAGGTGGGTTAGAGCCAAAAACTGCATTTGCTATAGTGATAACACCAGGATTTTGGCTGCTGAGACCAGCAAAGGCAATGGCATTAGTTTCCCCTATATTGAACTGGAAGTGAATGAGACCAACGGGGAAAACAAACACATCTCCTGGCTTCAGGACTTTGGTGAAGAAGCGATTATCTGGGTTGGATGTAACAAAACCGACATAAAGTGTACCCTTTGTCACAACTAGGATCTCTGTGGCGCGAGGGTGAGTGTGAGGAGGGTTTAGGCCACCATAAGGTGCATAGTCAATTCGAACCAGGGATATGCCAAGAGTGTTAAGTCCTGGTATTTGGTCAACATTGACAGGAGTGACTCCTGATCCCACTGCATTTGATATGTTTCCTGCTTTGTCAAGCCCTGAAAAGAAGAAGTCATCTGCGGTGGCAAGCTTTGGGTCCTTGCAGAACTTCCCATTTACAAACACTGGATGAAAAGAAAATGACATTGGTTAACACAAATATGGAGGCAAACGTTAGTGTACATGGTATAGTTATTATAATGAAAAACATTTCTTCTTAGCTGAATGCCTTTAATCCACGGTTAGGCATAATAAATAATCACATGAACAAAATGCAAACCTGCATGCTTGGTGCCATTGAGGGCTATGCAGAAGTCCTGGAGAGAGCTAGGGTCTGAGGCTGAGGCTAATGTGGAAGCTAAGGCCAAGAGGGCAAGAGCTACAAGGAAATTGTTCACTCCTTTCATTTCGGATTACTTGTTTGCTAGTTGCTCGGTGGAGGGGTGAGAAATCTTACTTGGCATGCACGGATTATTTATAGATGAAGATCCAGTACATTGGTCCTTATTTTCTGTACTTGAGGAAGGTGAAGAATTGATAGGCCTCGATGGCTATCTATTTTATATTTTGAGGATGAATATATTCTTCAACGACTACTCTTATTTATGCCATTTTTGTTTTGCTATGTTCACCAAGAACATTTCATCTAAATGTAGGTAGTTTTATTTTATTCACATAAATATGTATGCTTTGGTAATATTCCTCCATTATCGCTTCTCATTTGAATAACTGAGAAGTCATTTGTCCAAAGCCAAGCACGAAAGCCCTGCTGCAATAGAAAGCAGTTGGGTTCAGCAGAACACAAACAGGAATCTAAGTTAATCCTATCCTCCATGGATGGGCAGCAATCTTAAAAAAAAATGGAAAAAACAGGAATATAAGTTAATGCCAAGAAACAAAATGAAACCAGCAAGAGAAAAGACCATCACAATAGCCAAATGAAGGTACAGCAAGAAAGCAAAAATCGTTGACAGAAGAGGCCAGTATTTAGACCCCAATTCTGACAAAGAACTCTTGCTAGGGGCTTATCAGCAACTTTTAATTAGTCAATGAAATTGTCTCTTATATCAGCACCAGAAAGCTTCATCTTGAGACACCTATCATGACATCTTTGGCTTATTTCATTTAAAATGTGATTAGGAAGTAGGAACATAATATATACAACAGAGGAAAATTTTCCTTTCAATCAAGTGTAAGCTTTGCAGAAGCATTCAGAACATCAGACCCTCTTGCTTTCAAACTAAAAGGAATGGTTTGTCTTTAAAATGGGTCACTTGATTCATGTATGAACTTGTGCTAGAAGCAACAGATTTGTACTCCTGTTTTGGAAAGGATCCTCTCTAATAAATAGATGAGCACTCAATCAGCGTACAAATTGGGGTCAGTCTCAGTCGGTGCATCCAATATTTAATGAACTAAAGCAGAAAAGCAAATTGCTAAAGATGTGGCAAAACTAGCCGGCTAACTTGTTGAAGAGAAAATAAAGAAGAAGAGCAGTTAAAAAATTGGTACGTGATGATGACATCTAACCATAAACCAGTCAGGAAACATATAATAGAACATAATGTTGAACAGATTGCAACATCCAATACTAATGTCCGTAGCCGACTGAATATTCCAAATTTCTCATTACAATAAACCCAAATCATGCCAAGTAGTCTTTGGTTATTCTTACAATTAACATAGGTTTTGTTTCAGGACATGATCACTGGTTATTGTTTTGTAAAGGAATTGGTTTTTGATATGTATTAGGTATCCTTGAAATAAATTTTCAGTCAGTTATGGCAGTTTCTGTTTCATAAGGTTCTTATTGGTTATATTTTGTAGTTCTATTTTACAAGTAAAATATAATTTAAAATGAAGGTCCTATATTTTGAGTAAAAAAGCTGGCATTTTCCGCATCTATAATTCAAAGAGAAATATTGTATTCTTGATTGTGCCTTCATAAATAGTTTAATAAGGCTTACATTTGTAAGGGATTTTTAATGATTTAAAAAAGAATAAGTTAACAGTATGGAAATGATACATAATTTAACACAATCATCTTAATTTAACTTATAATCTTTTTGATTGTTATAATTATGTTAATATCTCATCAAATTCGAGGTGGTATGGTAGATACTAACTTAAATTTAAAAATTAAATCCTGAAACGATCTTCGATGATAATATGCCAAAATTTACATCCAATTAGAAAACTTTTCATATTTAGATTCACAAATTATAATTGTTAATCATAATTAGCAGAAGTATTCACCAAAATCGAAATCAAGAGGTCAAATTTAAGAAAGGTTGACACACATAACACTCATGTCTTCATGTAGCAATATTTCTTGTAAGAGATTTATCACGATGGATGGAATTTGATCAGATTGTTGTTTAGAGCAGAACACATTATAAAAGTTTGAAAAAAATCCTATCAGTTGTCTGATAGAAATCTAATGAAACCGATATATTCAAAAAAAGCTTGTTAAACAAATAGTCATTTCTTAAAGATTGCTGTTTCCCATTGAAATGGTTGCCTATCGTTTGCAATTTATATGGTGACAATCCAGTAGCAATTGTTAAAACTAATCCATTGACTTGACGGAAGGCCCTGAACTTGAAGCTTAGACTAGATGGTTACCAATGGCAAAATATTTGCTTCTGCGATGCCAAGACATTCTCATGAAAGGTTAAGGTCCACAATATTTTTTAGGTCTTATGAAGACAAATTGATTGACTCCTAGTCCTTGTTAGGAAAGTGACCTTCAACCTGGAGAAGTCAACTGCTGAAGAAAGGCGAGAAGCAATTGAAGAAACTGAAGATTGGAAGATGGTTCATGATCGAATAAAACGATGTCACAGAGGCAATCTTAGTCTTTTAATTTCTTTTGCTAAACAATCTTCATAATTGTCGTTTTGGTTAGTTTTTCTCACTTAGGCCAATGGTCACCTAGTTATTATTGTTGTTTTGTTTCTTTAGCCATTAGAACACAAAAAGCATTCTCACGTTTTCTATGCCTTTGATCCTATTTTGTTGGGTTTTTCATTTTTCGAGGCTACATCTTTGGAATAGCTCTCTGTAATGAATATATATTTACTTGTAGCTGTTATTTTGATACATCTCTTTGATTAATGAAATTCCCAATTTTTTTTACTTTTGCTGATACTCTGTTTTTCTCCTCTTTTTTTTCTTTTTGAGCCTCAGTTATTTTGAAATTAAAGAACGTGAGTTGTTTTTCATGTCATCAGGCTGAGGTAGTTAACACTGCCAACTGCATTCAAACCAGAAGCATCACTAAGGCATTGGTGCTCAAAACTCCTTTTGAGATTTGGTATGAACAAAAGCCCTCTGTCTCTCATTTAAAATTCTTTAGTTGTATGTGTTATGCAAGAATTCTTTATGTGAAGAGGTCAAAATTTGATGCTAAGGCTTTTACTGTTGTGCATATTGGATATAGTCATAAGTCCAAAGGATATAGGTTCTATGATTTACAAGCAAACAAAATAGTTATCAGCAGGGATGTGTTATTTAATGAAAGTTAGTGCTGGAACTGGGAGAAGGAGATTGTAAAATCTATTCTTGGTTGTCATGATGTAAATGATCATTAACCATTGTTGGAGAGTGATGGTTCTGACATTAAAGATGAAAGTAAGGTTTGTAAGCTAGTAAAGGTATTGTCTGGATTAAAACAAGCACCTAGGGCTTGGTATGATAGGGTTGATTCTTACTTTACTGGTTAGGGTTTTCAGAAAAGTAGTAATGAACCTACATTGTATGTGAAGATATCTAACAATAATGTAATGCTAATTGTTGCAGTATGTGTAGATGATTTGTTAATCATTGTACCTGATGATGATTCATTACTTGAGTTTAAAAACCAGATGATGAAGGAGTTTGAAATTATAGACTTGGGATTAATAACTTATTTCTTAGGCATGGAGATTCTGCAAACTAGTGAGGAAATGTGGTTGCATCAGACTAAGTATGCCAAGGATCTGTTAAAGAAGTTCAACATGCCTGCTTGCAAGGCTGTAGCAACTCCATTAGCTTTTGGAGATAAACTTTGTAAAGAGCATGGTTCTACAGTAGCTGATGGTTCAATATACAGAAGTCTAATAGGTTCATTATTATACTTGACAGCAACTAGGCCAGATTTGATGTATGCTACATGCTTATTGTCTAGATTCATGCAAGCTCTTACATTGTTACATTTTAAAGTAGCCAAAAGAATCCTCAGGTATGTTAAAGAAACTATTGATTTTGGCTTGAGGTTTGTGAGACAGAATAGTGGGGATTTGGTTGGATACAATGGTAGTGACTAGGCAGGATCACTTGATGATTCTAAGAACACAACTGGGTTCTTTTTTCCTTTCAATAGTGCAGTCTTCTTACGGAACTCAAAGAAGCAAAGTATTGTTGCACAGTCTACTGTAGAAGCTGAGTACACAGCAACTGCAGCAGTTGTAAATCAGTTGAAGTGGTTGAGAAAGATTTTGAATGATCTTGGTTTCAAACAAGATAAGAGCACTGTGATTTTTGTTGATAATCTTTCAGGCATTGCAATAGCTAAAAATCCAATTCATTATGGGCGAACCAAGCATGTCAAAGTAAAATATCATGCTCTTAGAGAAGCTGTGAATGAAAAAGAGGTTGAACTTAAGCATTGCAATACAGAGTTTTAGTTAGCAGATATATTCACTAAAGGTTTGTCCAGGGGAAGGTTTGAAACACTCAGAACTCTTCTTGGGGTGCTCTAGATTTCAGATCATGGGGGAGTGTTAAGAAAGTGACCTTCAACCTAGAGGAGTCAACTACTGAAGAATGGCGGGAAGCAACTGAAGAAACTGAAGATTGGAAGATGGTTCATGATCGAATAAAATGATGTCGCAGAGGCAGTCTAGGCTTTAAGTTCGTAAAATGGTGACCACCAGTGTCGTTTACTTAGTCTTTTAATTTTTTTTGCTAAACGATCTTCAAAAGTGTCGATTTGGTTAATTTTTCTTTCTTAGGCCAACGGTCACCTGGTTGTTATTGTTGTTTTGTTTCCTTAGCCATTAGAGCACAGAAAACATTCTCACGTTTTTTGTGCCTTTGATCCTGTTTTGTTGGGTTTTTCATTTTTTGAGGCTACATATATGGAATAGCTCTCTGTAATGAATATATATTTGCTTGTAGCGGTTATTTTGATACATCTCTCTAATCAATGAAATTCCCAATTTTTTTTTACTTCTGCTGATACTCTGTTTTGCTCCTCTTCTTCTTCTTTCTGAGCCTCAGTTGTTTTGAAATTAAAGAACGTGAGTTGTCTTTCAGTCCTAAAATGCATTCTTTGTAGAATCTTCTCAGTAGCACTAGATCTTTGACTTCTTCTTAACAAAATTTAGTGTGTTCTGGATTCTGGCAAATAAGATTGCAACGTTCC